AGCAATAGCTACTAGTGATAATACACATGAAAAACGACGTAAAATTACTATTCGTAAATCAATATCAAATAAACCTGTACCTGAAAATGAAGATACATCTGAAAAAATAGAACCTGATGCTAAAGATAATTATCATGCTCGATTAAGTATATATTTCGTTATTATTTAAATTTTTGAACAAAAAAAAAAATATCATAATTTAATTTTGTCATATAGTTGATATAATGGGTTCACGTCAAGCATTTCTCCTTCGAAAATTACGTGAATCATCATTACCAAGTCATCCACATATGTCACCATTATGTGCTTCCGATGAAATTTTACGACAATTTCCAACAACTCATCTTATTGTAAATTCTTGATTTCTATCGTTTTGATTAACTACTTTTACAGTCTTGATAACTAATATAACCTCTAAGATGATTGTCCATATGTATAGAAATTCATATAAAGGATAACAAGGACAGTAAATGAAAAATTGGTAGTAAATGTCATCATTCATCGAAGACCAAGGAAACAGTATAGAAGTAATAGATCTAAAAGAACAATACGACTGATAATTTCAAGATATATTTAAAATGATGGATCTATGATTTGTAGGATTGTCTTTGTCATTGAAACTGAAAAACAGTTTCAACATCCTAGTAGAAATTCTTCTTTATGGGCTACCACTCTAGTAGGAACTTCTGAGCTAGGCTATTATAAGAGACATGATGAAGCGTATTAAACGAAAATTCAAAAGTTTTGACGTAATAAAACTTTAAGACAAATTTTTCTGTGAAAAAGAAGAAGATAAAAGATATCCTTTGAATGATAGATATAGCCAGAGCTAAGTCCTATGGAAATTATCTATTTCGGATCTAGTTAATAGCGGAACGAATCAGAGGAAAAATTGCTAATTTTCTCTAGCAGACAAAAGTTTACCAAGCGAATATACCCAACTGTCGGATGTCGTTCGACTTCATACTATGACTACGAATAGGTGTCAGTAAGACTAATAGAAGCTTAAAAGATAATCTAAAACAAATAGTTTCGACCTAAAGTTTTGCTTATGGATACATTTGATTGTTCTGAAAGCGATTTCTAAGTAGACTCGATTATTGCGTTCTTCCATTGTAAATCGCTGTCATGTTGGATACCTCGAGAAAGACATCCCTAATCAACTCTCCTAAGTCATAGCATAAAGTCGAACAACATCCGACTTAGTATTAAATCAACAAAAAAAAGTAACTTGAACAATAATAAAAAGAATTGTTTTTTTCTTTTGTGATTATTCGAAATTAAATTATTTCTTCTTTTTTATTTCAGCCCTGTGCACGCGGTAAGTTAATAAATTATTATAGAATTCATTTTAAATTTTTTATTTTCAAAGATCCATTTATTGATGATAATGTTGAATTTGCACGTCGATTACGTTCTCTTAATGTTCCTCATCAATTAACTGTAGTTGATGAATGGCCACATGGTTATCTTGATTTTGGTTTTGCAGCAGATGATATTGGTCAATTTAATATTGAAATTATAAATATGCTTCACAGTATTGTTCAGCAATCAAGTTCTAATGATACCGGTGATCTTACTTCCTTACCAACTTTTGTTGACTAAATTTCTTTATTTATTTTTTTTTGTGTTTTTGTACGCAGACGTAAAATTATTTTTTTTTTTGGTTTTTTTTCTTATTGTATCATTTACATTTGCCAAGAGAACAATAAAATTCATTACTATTGACAGTATACGATTTTAACTGAGAGAATAAAGACTGATCGATCATCATGTACGCAGCTATTGTAATTTTTTTCTTTTGATTATGCGATTAAATATCTAAAATGGTGAAAAAAAGATTCTTTTGGTTTTTTTTTCATAATGTTAAGCACGTAGCTCCAATCCAAATAGTGATTTTAATAGCCAATGAAGTTTTCTATCCAATACACTTTATAGAAAGATTTCACAGATGAACAATGATGGCAAGGTTCCTAAAAATCAAACACGGTATTTTTCAGGTTTTAAAAGGCTTTGTCAGAGTTATTTTTGAATGGTGCCATCTTAAAGACCACAAAATTCTGAGCAAAATAAGGGGTCGTCGAGTTTTCTACGACCTTCTCATAAAAAGTTACAAGCATCACAAAAATCATGAAAAAACGAAATTTTTTAAAATCAACTAAAAACGCTTTTTTCATGATTTTTGTGATGCTTGTAACTTTTTATAAGAAGGTCGTACAAAAACTCGGCGACCTCTCATTTTGCTCAGAATTTTGTGGTCTTTAAGATGGCACCGTTCAAAAATAACTCTGGCAAAGCCTTCTAAAATCTGAAAAATACCGTGTTTGGTTTTGAGGAGCCTTGCCATCATTGTTCATCTATGAAATCTTGCTATAAAGTGTATTGAATAGAAAACTTCATTGGCTATTAAAATCACTATTTGGATTGGAGCTAGGTGCTTAATATTATGAAAAAAAAAACTAAAAAAATCGTTTTTTTCTAATCTTATTTCCACTACTTTAGATATATTTCTATTTATCTATCCAATAAAATCTAAGTAAACTCTAGTAAATGTTACGAGTATGTAACAAGAACTTTTGAGTACTTGACTAGAAGGTGTTTCTAGTTGTTCAATCTACTAACTTGTTGAAAAATTCTTTATAGGATACGATAGAAGCTAAACTGATACCTCGTAAGTACCCACAAAGTTCGCAGCGCTACTACTTTTCTGATTTTTCAGATACAGGGTGTAATAAAATTATTGACCAAGATTTATTTTCAATTTTTCTTCCATTGTTGTAAGCTCTAGAAAGAATCTAAATAGCGATTCGAATAAACAAAATAAAAATTATTATCAGGTTTCCATAGTCAGGACTCCAGAAAAACAAAAGACTGATTTTTCAGCATCTAGAATGCGTGAATATAATTTTGTTTAGAATTACATAGCAGAGATGAGATTAGTTCATGCTTTTTTTTGAAAATAAACTGATCCAATCTCTGCTATGTAGTATAAACAAAATTATATTTAAGCGTTCTAAGTGCTAAAAAACTAGAGCTTTGGTTTTCTGAAATCTCTATCTTTGGAAATTTGATAACAAATTTTTATTTTCTTTATTCAATTATCAATGCAATTTTTTTGTACAATATATTTCATCGGTAAAAATCAATCTAGTTAAAGATTTAATTTACTAGAGAGATAAATAAAATCTTTAATTAGAAAAATAGCTTTGAATTAACAAAAAGACTGTTCAATAAATGAAAAAAAATACACATATATTCGTGTGCTATTCATTACTGCCATCTAGTAAAAGCGTATTGGATTTATTTCATACTCAATCAATATTCGCAACATTAAGAAGGTTCAAAATATATATATATCTTCATTTTGTCCTTCGAACGAATGAAAAAAAAAAGCAAATCTTTTTATTTTTCTATAATACTAAATGAAGAAAATGATAAAATAAACATCAATACTGATAGAAATATTCATGATAAATATTTTCTAACAATTTGTATAACATTATCCAAAAGAAAAATTATTTCTTAGTTTGAACAGAATCTTAAAATTGATCTTGTAAGTTTTAATTTTATAATATTTATTATTGTCTTCTATTTTTTTTTTCAAGGACGAAAAAGTTGAATTTACAAACATATAATTGATCACATTAAAGAAAGAATTCATGAAAGATATAAAATAAAAATTTAATAAGATGTAAGTTTTAGTGATACATGTTTAACAACTTTTTATTATCATTAATACAGATTCTAGTGTTAGCATCTCTAGAAAATAGTAGATAATGTCTCTATAATCTTTAATCATTCTTAATTGATAGAATAGATTATATGTGCATTCTCATCATTTAATAAAGATGAAATATAAAATCTTGATTGTTTTTCTTTTTGTTGTTTTCAGGATACAACAAATCATGTTTATTGAGTAATTCAATCTGAAGAAAAAGAATTAACACAATTATATTGTCATCATTAATATAATGTTTGGAAAATTTTGAATAGATTATTAATAAATATTATTATATTTTTATGATAAAAATCTTTGAAATATTTTATTTATCAATCATTCACTTGTTAGTTCAAGTTATATATTGTATTTGAACGAGTTAAAGTAGGAAAATAACAATAGAGAATGAAAACTTTTAGGTTTTTTTATTTTAGATTTTACAAGAACAAAGTGCACGAATGTAATTCTCGTTTCTATATCGTTCAATCGATAAAAAAAAACTTTTTTTTGATTTATTTTTGTATTGTAATTATTGTTTTATATGTATATGGTTAAATTTTCAATACGTATATAACTCTAGGTCAAATATAAATATAAATACCTTTCTTTGTTTTGTTTATTTTTGATAGAAAGTATTTTTATGAGTAGAGTTGTTTACAGGTGGTTTCAGCTGTCAGTCTACATAATGTATATTTCTTTGTCATTGTGGTTTGAGAAAAAAAAAAACTATTATTTGTTTTGAGTCTAATAATAGAAGAAAAATAATAGTTTGTTTTTTTTTTTTTATAATAATTTCCTAGGAGTTTTGTAATTATAGAAATGTTTATATCTCAATTGTAATATTAATTATTTAACTCCTAGAAAAATATTAAAAGTCGATTGCGATTGAATAAATATATCGAAATTCATTTTTTTTCTTTCTTGAACGTCTGATTAAAATAATATGTAGATTGTTTCTATTTCTTAGTGATGATGTTTTCGAGCTAGAAGAAAAGAAAAAAGAAAGAGAATAGAAGGCGAATAAAGGACATTCATTTATATGATTGTTGGTTACTCTCAAGAGTAATTTGGCGACTCGCCTAGTTGTCTCGATGCCGATTCGACGAATACACATTGAGAAAAAGAGAAAAGAGAGAAGAAAGAGAGAGAGAGAAAAAAATATATATAATGTTGGTAGAGTATATATATAAGTAATGAAAGAGTCTTATGTTTATAGAAGAAACAACACAAATTTTTTTTTTTTTTTTTTTATCAGCAATCTTTTGTCGCTCAAAAAAAGCGAATGACTGGCCATTTCTTTGAAGGAGCAGAAAAATTATTAGAAATTTGGTTTACAACAACTACAAGTGATACAATTAAATATACATCACGAAATGATTTACGAAATATTCCTCGGTAATTAATTATTTATTTAAAATTCTTATTGAACTCTAGTTCATTGTTTTGTTCAGGGATCTTATTGAAGAAGTATTAAATTTAGTTAATTGTAAAGTACTTCAATATGCACAATCGGCTACAACGGATACATATGTATTAAGTGAATCAAGCATGTTTATTTTTCGTACACATTTTGTTTTAAAAACATGTGGTGAAACAACATTACTTCATGCAGTTCAACCAATATTAGAACTTGCACGAGATTATTGTGATTTTGATATTGTCGATGTAAAAAAAAAAAAAAGAAAACAAACAAAAATTTTGTTATTATTATTGTGGAATATTTATTTTTTTTAGCAAGTTTTCTATAGTCGTCGAAAATTTCTTCGACCTGAATTACAAAAAGAACCACATACAAGTTTCGAACATGAAGTATAAAAAAAAAAAAATGATTTCAAAATTCTGATAAAATTTATTTCGTTATCTTTTCAGGTCGCTTATCTTGATTCACTTTTCGAAGGTAAATAAACATGTACTGATATTATAATTGGACTTGCTCAATTTATATGCTTTTTTCAGGTGGTAGCGCATATGTTCTTGGTCGTACTAATATCGATTGTTGGTGAGTCATAATTTTGTGTATATACACCTCAATTAATAGATGTCGATAGACGAAAAAAACAAAAATTACGATCAGAGATTTTTAGAAATAGAAGGATGTGACGTCCTTGATTATAATTGAATAAGAAATTTGTTTTTATTGTTATATTGAAAACATTTTTAATATTTATATAGGTATTTATATACATTGAACAAGGCATGTGTTCGTACAAAATCCGATCAAACATTGGAAGTTATTATGACGAACTTAGATCAGGAAAAAATGAAAATTTTCTTTCAAGAACATACAAAATCAGCAGCTGAAGCAACGAAAGTATGTTTATTTATTATCATTTTTTGTTGAGTTCAAGAGTGAGAATAAAGGGGGAAAAACGAAAATTTCTCAAGATTGACGAAGCGATGCCTTTAAGTTCGAGGCTAGAACCCTATTTAGAACACTTCTGTCAAGAGATTATGTGATAAAATTTGATATATTTTGTTATTCTTTACTATCAAATCACGTTCTATATAAAACAATGTATTAATTTTAATATATATATATATATATATATTTATAGAAAGCTGGTATTGATAAAATTTTTCCAAATGCAAAAATTTTCGATTATTTATTTAATCCATGTGGTTATTCAATGAATGGTCTTCTACCTGATGGTTATTATTTTACAATTCATATAACACCTGAACCAGATTTTTCATATGTTAGTTTTGAAACAAATGTTCCATATCATCAATATAATGATATAGTTCGTAAAGTTATATCAATGTTTAATCCAGGAAAATTTACAACAACAATTTTTGGTGGATCGGTAAAAATTTTCTTAATAAAAATAAATATTTTTATTTTTTTTTATTATCTTTTATTAAATAGGCATCAAATAGTCTTGATAAACATCGTAAAATATTTTTATATTCGGATTATGCTCGTATTGATCATCAAATTGTTTGTTTGGTTGATTATGATCTTATTTATAGTTATTATAAAAAACATCCGAGCTGAGGATTACGCAACACCGTCTACGTGTGTCGTAGAACATCGAACGACATGCACGTACGACAGAGTGTTGCATATAAAATTATTAACAAAAATAAGAAGATGAAAACAAATTATAATTTTAACACATTTAGACAATGGCCACCATCATTTATTATATATATGAAAATTAATCATATGAAATTACATTTAACATCAAAAAAAACGTAATAAAAAATTAAAATATGCATTTCATCACAATAAAAGAAAGTATAGATAATATTTACTTCAAGTTTAGGTTTATAATTATGAGTTTAGTTTAGTCCCGGTGTAAGGTCTATATTTGTTTTGTTTTGTTTTTTTTTTTTGTTTCTGTTTTTTTTCTTCTCCCTTGATTTGTGATTTTGGGAAGTTTTATATTGTATTTAGAATTTAGTTAACAGAAAAATTAAAGTTGTAAGGTATAATGTGTTATGGCCTATGTAGATTTGTGTTATAATTGTTTTTTTTTTGTTTTCATTCTTCTATTTTTTTGTGTAACAACATTAATAGAAGCAACAGAAAAAAAAACAAGAAGAAGAAAAAGAAAATAATAAAATAAACATTAAAAACTACTTAATGTATTCAAATTCAAGTCTAATTTTTTCAATAGAAATAATAACTAATGAATATTATATACATATTTAATAATATCTCTTTCTCAAAGAAATCATCGCATGACGATTTATTTTTGTAATGTATAGAGTTATATACAAAAGCTATTGCAAGAAAAATAAAATATGAGTGTTAACGAGTATTATTGAATGACAACCAACAATTCTTTCTGTGAAAAAGTTAGACTATCTATCGCCGCTCGTTTTCTGCAAAGTATAAATAGATAAGTTTATTCTATAATATTATCTAAAAGTTTGTTTCAATAGAGTCATTATTTTGTATTTGATAAGTCGAAGTAAACTTTTGTATATATGTAAGTTAGTATAGTTTCATTTAAATAAGTCCGAACGAATTTGTACTTTGTACTTATATCAATACTTCCAGTGAGATAGAAGAATCGATGGGGTTACAGAAGTAAAAAGTAAAAATCGAACGATTCTTTTTCTCGAACCTTCTTATCAAAGTTTTTCTTCTCATATTTTCGAAAAATATGTGAATATTATATTATTCGACATTGATATAAAGTTATTAGTTTTCTTCTATATGAATTTATATGCTACACTTTTAATAATGAACTTCAAAAAAAAACAAAAAACATCACTAGTTTTTTTCGAGAATGGGATGAAAATTTGAAGATAGACTTAATACTAATCTTAAATATGTATTTATAATATTATCTCATATTTCATCCATTATGTTGAATATAAAGTTTATAAATTTAAACTGATTCATTATATAAACATGTCTTTATTAAGCATTCTCAAGAGATTTTTCTTTTTGTTGTTTGTCTGAATATTCGATGTACAAAAAAATTTGTCTTATCAATCGAGTATTAATAAAGATATCTATGTCGGACAAGTAAATAACATTACAATATTGAAGTATACAAATGTATTAGTTTTTTTTTCTCGTCTATTTATTGACTTGAATATCACATTCTTAATTTTTTATGTTATTAACTATTTTACGCATCCTGAAAGAATTCGTTAAACATATCGACACATATACGCGTCATGAATATTATTATTATCATCACATATAATGCATATTTTTTCAATATATTTGATTTAAAAGTTAGTGTCGAAAAGCAGCAACTTTCTATATAATCATTTTGTCCCTACAGTTCATATTAAATTCGTGCACTAAGAAACGAAAATATGCGTGATGTAGAGCTACTCTATGTAATAGACAATCAAGTTTGACATGTGATGAGTAACGGAAAATTTAATTTTGAAGATGATGTTACTTCGGTCTTTTGAGACTGGTAATAATGCACGCATACTTATTATAGATCAAATGGGAGAAAAACGAGATTTCATTTATTTCAAGTGCATATTGAAACATAAGTGTGTGAGATCGCGCTTCTTTTTTTTTTTTATTCTTAAATATGTGCAAAGAACAGATGCAATCGGTTATATGGAACGAATGAAAATGATAAAATCAATCTGTTGTGCTTGCTTAGTTTCATGTGAAGAGACTTTGGATAGAGTGTGTTTTGTTGCAAAAAAAAGCACAATTGACCTATCTGATTAATTATCTGTTATCAATACAATTTTATTATTCAAGCAATACTCGGAACCGATAGTACAATGGCAATTAGTAAAAACGAAAAAGAAAAAAAAAACCTCAGTTTTGATACCCTTGAAACCAGTGACCTAATAAAAGTATGTCAAATAATTTATAGAATAATTTTTAAGTTATATTTCGTTCTTGAAAAAGTAAGTTCTTCAAAAGATAAAAGAAAAATTATGAGAAAATCATGACTATTAATCAGCTGTATAACCTTTGAGTCAATAAAGAATCAAATAGAGCTAGAAATTTGTGCAAATATTAAAGAGCACCTAGTTACACATAGAAAGAAATTCCAGCTTTATATTTCGTTCTTAGTTAGGGCTAGGCCAATTTTAGTAACATTCATTTTTCGTGTCTATTATATCTTCAATGGTATTCAGCCAATATTTTTTGGAAAAGTTTGTTCTATATTTAACAGAAGACATTGGAGTCTAGTAGAGAAGTGACCAATGATATTGTTTTACTAAAAGAATTCGTTTTAGTTTTAATGAAAATTCATCTACAGATGATGATGAAGTAATTGAGTATATGAAGAGGAAAATGAATTATCAAAATGGTGAATATGTATTTCATCTATGTATTCACAATTATAACGTTTGGCATCAACACTTCGTTCCATTTCAGTATCATCAGCCAACAAATAAATATATACTTAGCGAAATTCATCGGCTTTTAGAAGCAAAAAGACAGCAAATGAATCTTAAATCATTTGTTTTTTTGTTGCTATTTATAGAAGAAATTAAATAGTATACTTTTTTCATATAGAATATAATTTTGAAAATCGTCGTGTGACTGTAAAAGTGTCTGACGGATATTGATTAGCTCGGGCTTGAGTATCGGGTACAATTGTAAAAAGTGTAGGACACTACATCGAACAATTGCTGTACGAAAAATCGTCTTTTTTATGACAACAAACTCGCTTTTAACAGGGATATAACTCAAAGTCATAATGATTATGGAAGTACATACTGAAAAAAAGTTATTTTTTTGATGACGCTCGATTTTTTTTAGAGATCTTAATCATACGTTTGTCTATTTTTAATTTTTCTTTCCATTCAATTGTGAGAAATAAATATGATTTACCGCTGGTGAAATTGTTGATCAATCTCGTCGACTTCAGGTCATGCAACACTTAAAAAGTTTTGGTATCGTTCTCCTTTATATCACGATTCCGGCTCGGTTTTCGATTCCATTCTGTTTCGAAACCGCCGGGTTCTTCTGTTGTTACTCTCAACTCAGTAATTTCAAAATGTATCTTCTAGAACAGAGAGTTGACACATTAATAATCATCTTACTATCCAGTTCAACAAACTCATTATAAATCATTCCACGTAAGTCAAGACTGATCCTGCTCAATTGATGAAATATTATTCCGTTCTTGAGATATTGATATTTTTCTGAAAGCGCACCATCATCAAAAAACGACATTTGCAATTTTTTGTGCCACCGATATCTCTTCAATAATACATCTATTCCACTTGAAATTTTTACTGTAAGCCTATCTTAAGTTTTCGTATTAGCTATAAAAAACGTCGAGCTCAAATGAATGAACCATTAATGAGTTGACCAAGACTATCAAGTACATGAAAAAAATTTCACTTTTTAATATTTTGTGCATATACACATATCGATTGAACACGGATGATGTTAGAGAGCTGAAATTTTGCTCACAAAGAGATCTCATTGAATACTAGCTCTGGTAAAAAATTCAGCTCTCTGAAGCTAGTCTCTATGGCTCAGAGGATCCTCGTAAAAAATGCAATTTTGGAAGGAGCCAATCTAGAGCAAAATCCGGTCTGTATGGTTTTAAACTACACACTTAGGAGGGAACATTCCCAACTGTCACATCGCTTTTGAGTCGTGTGTATGTGTATCCTGTAGATCCTAATGATCTATGAATACTCTGAAAAAAGTTCATGTCGCTTGCTTATTACTGCTGAAATATTGCATTTTTACTTTTCGTTGTTCCTAACCTAAGATACAGCTATAGTAAAATAGCTTATACACACCAGTACATTCCGATGTTCTTATTTTAGACTAGGAACAATCAAAAGATTTGAAACTTTCATAATAAACTATTCTCATTGAGATCTGTCCTTGTATAAAGTTTACGATGAAATTCGAAATTCAGTTTTTCTAGGATTCCTGACGGCGAGTACAGCGTTTTGCTTATAAATACAGTAAAAATGCAATATCTCGGCAGTAATAAGTAAGCGACACGAACTTTTTTCAGAATATTTATAGATCATTAGGGCCTACAGGATGCACATACATTTGACTCAAAAGCGATATGACAGTTGGGAATGTTCTCTCGTTAGAAATTCATCAAACACTTGTCCCTATAACATATATAAAAACCAATCAAATCGCCGATCATCGATTGAAACAGCTTCTATAGAAGTCGATTGTGGCTTATGTGGAATGGCTCTTATGCAAAATCATCAAAGACTAATCATTTTCATTCAATCTATACGTATTTATTTCCAGAATTTAAGCTTTAAATGATTACTGAACTATATGGAAATTAACAGCAGGTTTCATAGTAACAAAAAAAAACCTTGAACACGTTTATTTTCAATAGATGTCGCTTATAATTGTTATTTACGACATTATTAAAGAACTATCACGTTTGATGGTGTAACTACTAACATTACATTCTTGTCTTTCTTCTATTTTAAAAATATCATAATTTGTTTTTTTTTCAGGTGTTTTCTATTTTATCCTATTGGATAAAAACTCTGAACCAGTCATATGTAATAGTAGAATAAATGAATGATTGATGCTTATTCACTAGACCATTTGAATACCTTATGTTTCAGTCGACATAATATCCTTGTTTTGTTGTTAAATAGAATAAATATTTTAGTTTGCAAATATATATATATATTTTTTTTTGTCGAATTAATTACTAAATATAAACGCGCTGAAAAATATTTCTACGATGAAAATTAAAATAATCTTTTTTTGTTTTTGTTTTTAGATGATATGAATTATGAAAAGAAATTCCGTATTTTACCTTATTCAATATATTTTCATTATTTTTTGATTATTATTCTCGTTTTTCAAACATTTGTTAATGGGAAAAATGATCAAACAAAGAGTGTTATCGATATTATTGATGATGAAAAACCTGTATTTGATATAAATTTTGGTAAACATAAAAAATATTCTATTGATGATTGTATACCATTAGCATTTGGAGATTTTAATGCTGATAAAGTTATTGATATATTTTGTCGTAATACAAAAGGTAGAAATTAAAATATATATTAATATTGACATCTATTATTTATTATGAATAGGTTATATGATTCGTGTCATGTTAAATGATGATCGATCACCAACATCAAAAGAACAATTCCGTATAAATATAACGGGAATTATTTATGATGCATTAGCAGCTGATTTTAATGGTGATAGTAAACTTGATTTATTTGTACTTTATAAAAAAGAATCTGATCAAATTGGATATAATGGTGGAATATTTTGGGGTGATAGAGTTAAATTAAGTAAGTATATGAAAGATAGTGGCATAACAAGGAAATAAATTTTTGAGGAAGAAACTCAGTACTGCAGAGATGATATTAGTCTTTTTTTTTTTTGATGTTCATAATTTGATTATAAAATCTTTAGGTGCTTTACAACCATTGGATTATTTATTTGAAAGTATTCCAACAACTCTTGAGTAAGTGTAGCGCATTTAAAATATTCAAATAATTCATTAATCTTTTTCTTTTAGTGCTAATGGTGATTCTTATGTTGAATTACTAGGCATGGTTAGTACTGATGGTGCAACTTTTAAACCAGCTTGTGTTTATCTGTAAGGAAATACTTTTTTATCATATTGAAAAATTTTTTTTTTTTTTTGAAGTAAAAATGCTACCAGATCACCTATCGAAGTTTTACCTAATATTGATAGACTTCGTCCTAGTTCAACACAAGGTTCAGTTGATCTTAATCATGATCTTATTGCTGGTTAGTATATTAATTATTCTATACGGAATAAAATGATGATCTAAAAAGAATGTATAATCATTTTTTTTTCTTCGACCCGCAGGCTACTTTATAAATTGACGAGTCATTAACTTGTCATGGCCTGCCCATGAGTAATACAAATTTTATTAATGTCAAATATTTAGTTATAAATCCGTTAGTTTTTTTTTTTTTTTTTTTAAATTTCTGAACATATATATTAACATTACAAAATAGTATTATGTGTTCATATATACAATATTGACTAGGATAATAATGGTGATAAATGCGCAAAAAATAACTAGATTACACATCTTTCATTTCCCATTTTTTTTTATGAACTAATTCAATTAACTTGATTTTGTATGAGTATATAGTTTGCCATTCAGTGTGACCTTCACTCAAAGCGCATTTATATACATGTTTCAAAACAAGTATGTGAACGAATATATGTTGTGAGAATAAATAGTAGAAAAAAAAAAACTCGTGTCTACTCGTACGTGTTACGTCACACATATCAAATATGACATTTTTTTTTTATTCATTTATTTTTATGAATCAATAAATAACAAAGAGAACATGTCTAATAATATTTTCTCAATAAATGTATATAGTTTGAAACTCAAAAATAAAAATAATTAAAATTATTTTTTCTACAGTTCATTATAAAATCAGATGAAGTAACATCCGTAGATCTTGGATGAAAATCGACCAATAGTAACACACAAATGTTTGGTATGCACGTCGTAGTACGTAATTCATGTCATGTATGGTAGGCGTACATCACCGTAGAAATAACGTCTCGTACGTGCGGCATCATACTTTACATGCATGACGGTACCTTTATGGTTCTCGCGCATACGACGACGAATCTTTGGATGTGAGAATCTAGAAGGAATAGTAAAAGTAACTAAATCAGTGAAGGAATGAAGAATGCATTGTTCGCATAATCTTTAATAGGATTATTTTTTTTAAAAATATTCTTCATTTGTTTATTTGATTAGATTTATTTTTAACAATTGAAACTGATAATAAAATAAAATATCGTATACATGAATTACCCATAACAAAATTAACATTAATTAAAGAATATGATCCACCACCTCGTGTTGCTATTTATCATTTATCAGTATTTGCTGATATAGGTAAGAAATTCATTTATATATTTTTTTTCTAATGAAATAATTCTTTCTTTTTTTTTTATAGATGCCGATGGTGAATTAGAACATATTCTTCCTGTTTGTATGGATACAAGTTGTTCACAAAGTCGAATTTATGTACGAGATGATAATGCAGTAAGTTAAAAGTTTTTCAATGATTTTTGATTACAGAATTAACTCAAGATTCGGACTCGAATTGAAAGTAAGAAAGAAAAAACATAATTTCGCATGATATAAAACATAGAATTTTCGTTTAATTGCCTCCTATTGATTTTGATTCACGCCTTCAGATTATTGTTCATTTAAAAATAAAAGGTGGGTGGGTATTTTTTGAATAACTTTTGATAGAAGTAAGGTAGAGAGTTGCGATTTTCACCAATGAAAAGAGAAGATGGAAACGCATCGAATTGTATATTCTAAGATAATTTGGCATGGTTTTTTCAAAGACTTCATGCGACGTTTTTGAAAGTGAACATATTCCATAAGGTGACTAAAGTAATTTTTCAATAATTTCGTGTGCATTTGAACCGCTAACAGCAGATCTACAAACTATACACAAGGCCGAGACTTTTAGATCTATTCGTTCAGAAATTATACGTGTCTTAGTGGAAATTCTCAGCCGATTTTTCCGTTAGTTGCTGTGAAAAAAATCACTTTTTCCGTTTTTGCCACAAAATAGAAACTCGATTAAGAAAACTTTAAAGAGCCTCCTGGAAAAACCTATATTATACGATTTGATGCGTCTTCATCTCCTCTTTCCAATGATGAAAACCGTAGCTCTCTATCTTGCTCCTATGAAAAGTTATTGAAAAAATACCCACCCGTCTTTTATTTTGAAAAGGGGCAATAGTTCTATTGCGTATGTCGATAGAAGAAATCTTTTTCTACAAGCTTACATATATATTTTTTTTTGTTCTAGTGGCATCAATTACCGATTCAATTCGGTAATGGAATACGATTTCCTTTACGAGATGAATTTCCATCACCATTTAAGCAAATACCAATTAGTATTAAAATAGCTGATTATAATCTTGATGGTTATCCAGATATGGTTACAGTTATGAATGATAGGTTGATTGAATTATATATTTTTTGATTAAATATATATATATATATTATTTTATTTCTTAAATAGTGAATCGGGTACAACTATTTCAATTGTTCTTTTAAATCAACCATGTGAAGGAGATATAAAATCACCATGTACTTATAATCGTACATTTATACCACAAACACATGAAAAATTTGTCTTAGCAGCAACAAATACTACTCTTGCTGCATTTTTTGATATTTTAGAAAATGTAAAATATATATTTTGAATATAGATTCATTATTATATTTTTTTTTTCTTCGTTTAATTTACTAGGGTTATCCAGATTTACTTGTTGTACAAAAAGATGAAAATGAAACTTTTAAATTAACTGCTTTTCAAAATTCTATTGTACAAGATGTACATTTTATTAAAGTTATGGGTAAATAACAAAAAAAACAAAATCGATTAGAAAACGATAATTATTCCTTTTTTTTTTCTTTGTTATAGTTCTTAGTAGTTCTATGTGTACAACATGTTCTAGTCAAAAGAAATTAGTAAAATTTAAATTAATTAAAATTTATTGAACAAAAAAAAAATCTTCGTTCTTTTAGCCATATGGTAATAATCAACCAGGTCAATCAATTAAAATGGAAACAATTACAATTATGAATGGAATTAAAGATTATACAATTCAATTAGCAGGTAGATACGTGTATATATGAGAGTGGTCAATGAGACCAAGTAAATCCATGAAAGTGTATACAATCTCACAGTTTTAAGAGAATCAGGATTATTAATGCATTATCGGAAAAGATGTTCAAATAATTGGTGAAAAATACGTAACTACTAAAACCTCGAGGAAGTATATTGACAGCAACAGATAAACTTTACAATAAGAATATTTCCAGTGCAAAATCTGCTATTGAAAATATCAATCGACGCATCAAAACTTATGCTATTTTAGGCCGTATCTATAGAGTAGATCCCAAAAATCGGGTCACTTTTTTATGGTTTAGTCCGTGCCCGAAAGAAATTTCGTTTACAAAGATTTTTTTTTTCAATAGACAGCTAGTCTATATTTTTTGGCTTTTACTAAAAGTGATGATCAAGAGCGGGTAGCATGGAGAAACTTCTCCCTATCCCCATCAGGGTGAGCCAAATCTCAGAAAAAGTTATGTCAAAAAAGGATTAAATCGTCGGGCCGTGCGGCTCGTTTTGAGACCTGCTATCGATGATTTAAAGAAGATAACGAAAATTGTATGTGTTATTTGCGCTTTGTCTACCCTAGTCGACTCTCCCCAACAAAATCACCGGGGAGTTCGCTGAAAAATGCGAAATCGTTGTCATGAGTCCCCGGAGAGAGTTGCATATCTCAGGATCCCCTAAGACTTCTCGAGGAGCCCCCAAATTTTAGGAAGTCCTTCTAAAATTTTCATAAATTTGAATTTTTCAGAGGATTCCAATGATGACTTCTGGAGAGACCCTGATAATACTCATCAATTCCCTAGGAAGCTCCTGGGGAATCTCTATGGAGTCCCTGAATCCCCTCTTAACTCTCACAGGAATTCCTTTAGGGAGTCTCGACTACGGTAATCTTAACCTGATAAAATCTCCTAACCCTGTGATATTTTTGTCCAACTTTAAAACTAAGTTATTGCTGATAAAACTCGTTTTACAAGACTTTATTTCAGAGTAGATGCTACACATTTCATGAGGTGTAGGGCACAGAGAGAGCTTAATGTATGTGAACATTCAGTATAGAAAAAAAAAGTAAATAAATTGAAATAGAAGTCTATTACTTGAATTTCATTCGAGAGAGTTAAATCTACAGCGCATTGGGTTGGTTCCAGGATTCGATGCACTCTAGTCGAACTACTACAGTCATCAAACAAATAATTTACTATTTGTTGAATAGAATTGTAATTGATTTGTCTTTTTTTTTTCCATCTAGCTGTTCAAATGTCTCAAGCTGGTCAATTAACACTTGAATTACCATATGTTATAATTGGTCTTGGTTCGACACCAAATTTTGTTGAAAAAATAACTGTTGGAGTTCCACCAAATAGAGACTCGGTTTTTAATTTTTTGATAAAATACTTTTTGTTTTTTTATTTGAATATGATTTTCTTTAGAATAAATTATATCGAACTTATACACAAATGATTCCAAATTCACAAATTGTTGTCATTCCAATTCCATTAATGAATCCAGAAAAGTAATAAAAAATTTAATTCTAAAATTTAATTCTAAAATCATCTCATGAGAATATTTAGATGGCATAGCAAATTATTTCTAACACCTAGTCGAATGATTCTTCATACAGGAATTGCATTAGGTGTAACATTAGTTGTACTAGCCGGTGTACTTGCTATATTACAATATCGTGAAAAGGTTTGTTTTATTTTTTGTCTTTTTATTATGAATTTAATTATCTGTTCTTATAGGTTGAAGATGATCGTGAACGTAAAGTTCAAGCTCAAGCATTCCATTATGATGCTTTATGATCTGTTTGTTTTGTTCTTTCTCGATTTCGTGAACAGTACTCCTGTTGAGTAGTCAAATAGATTTCTCAGCTTTCTAGATTGTTTCTCATTTGTTAGTGTCTATATTCTCACTTCTTTTTTTTTTGTTTGTTTGTCCTAATTATTATATTTTTTATGTTAAATATCGAACATCGGGAAATTATTAATTATTACTAATATTTATTTCAATTTAAGGAGGAAGAAACTCGAAACAAAAGAAGAAATAATATTATATTGTATCTTTTCTTTTTGTTTTATTTAAGATTTAATATAAAATTTTATTATGACAAAATTATATGAATCTTCATTCAAGGAAAATTCGTAAGTTTTTATGTAAAACTATATTTTAATCAGAATGTGATTAGGTTAGAAAATAGAATAGATCGTCATGGTTGGTTAACTATGTTGATCAACAAAGTGATCTGTATAATAACTAGCTAGGAAATGGCATAACGACCGAAAGCATGTTGACTATATTGTGACATATACCTACTTTTATGATTAGTTAGTGTATATGAGTAGCTCAAGTAGTCTGTATCAAGTTGATCATACGTCCAAAGCTACATCTAGTGTTAGGTGTAGGGAAGATGTCATGCTATTGAATAAGAGTAACTTTCGTTGAAGAAATATTAGCATTTTTTTTTCAATTATATTTAATCAGAGATTTTTAGGTTGTAAATCGGCTTTATCTTATCATTGTTATTTCTTTAGACCGGAATAAAACATAATATCTATTCTTAGTTCTGTCCTCTATAACCCTAAAATCTGTTACATATTGATATACAATCTGTCAAGTAGTTATCAAAAGGAGGTCAAAGACAATCGTTATGTGTACACGACTTTCATATGACAACAACTTATGAAATAATATTTTCTTGTTGATTGTTACTAAATCATCGTTTTTCTTTAATGAACCATAGCAAAAAGAAAATATTTTCAATTTGCTTTCGACATAACCTTTAATCTCTATATATGAAAAACAAAATATAAATATCAACTTATTAATTTAAAATAAAATTTAATAGATACGACCGTATAAGTAAAGGCTAATTTAACAGTGTAATATATTTTTTTTTTTTTACAAAACTCAATTACGTTTATATATTTATAGTGTCACTCAAAATATATAGAATAAGTCATTTTCTTTTTTTTTTTTTTCGTTGGTTCGTTTCACATTGAAGAATGAGTAAAAAAAAAAGAAACCGGTGTTTTGATAAGAATAAGAAAGCCATACACAAAACAAATGTCGTCAAAGACAAGAAAGAAAAAAAGTAACCTTTACCATCAATCAGAGTTTTTTTTCTTCTTCACATAAAAGTCAATCTATATACATTTCGAGCAGAATTCTAAATGGAATAAGTTTTGTTTTTTTTTGTCTTGTATTATTCACTATTTTCTTAAAAAGCTTAATAATATTTATACATCTTTTTCTTTGTTCTAGATATACTATTTTATTCATCGTCTAATTCTATTGATTTAATAATATATTCTTTTTATAGTTAATTAACATAACAAATTGAATTCAATTTCAAATAATATTTTTCAATAGTTATTATGATAAATTTCCTTTTTTTGATAAATAAATAGTATATATATATATATTTTTGTTTTTAGATAGTTCTATTTAGAAAGAAAATATGGATAATAACCAAAATTCAACAAAAATGCCAAGACCATTTGATAATGATAATGGAATAAATGCATCAGCTACAGGTGGTAATAATCAACAATTTGAATTACGTGAAGATGATCGTCTTAAACAAGAAGAAGATTATCGTCAAGGTAAATATTTCATTTTTATAAATATTCGAAATCAATTCGAAAAATATTTCTTATTCGAACATTCCGAGATTTATTTAGTGTAGTGAGGCCTATCCCATTTGTTTAGATTATTATGAAATATAATCTAAAAGTGTTGTAGTATAGGAATAAAAATTTCTTATATGAACTTTGCATGTTAATCATTTGATTCAATGACATTCATAAAGGTCGAATATACTATCAATTGTATTAAGTGATATGGAGGCTTTTACTGAAGCGTAACAATATAATGAAAAAGTCATAATGAATCTGATTTTGATCATTGAATATTTTGTTTTTTTAGAATTAATGAAGGTTCAAGATGAAATTGTAACATTACGTCAAGTACTTAGTGCTAAATTAAAACGTGAAAATGAATTAAAAACATTATTAGGTATTGGTATTGTTGATGATATAAAACAAGATTGGAATGAAACAGTTAATGATATAAAATCAAGTGTTGCTTATCAAAAAACAGCTGAAACATTAAATGCTGCTTCAGAAAAAATTGCACCAACATTACAAACAGTTAATACAACACTTAAATCTGGTATTGGTTCTCTTCGAAGTATGTTTTATTTTGCTTGATGTTTTTCTTTCTGAATGTAAATTTTGTTTTTTTTAGATTCAACTTATTTCAAAACATTCGAAAGTACACTTGGTTCAACTGTTAATGCAGTTAAATCAAAAATAACACCATCAAGATCAGCTATGAGTTTTAATGATGATGATCATGAACCTTTTCATGGTGCTAGTGGAGGACCTATGAATACTAATAATACAACACCACATAGTGATCATCTTGATTTTGGTAGTGGTCATAGTACAGATGGAAAGAAATAATATTGAATATCGAATTCATTGTTACTGATTATTATTTAAATAAAGACAATAAAACAAAAAAGAAAAAACATTTTTTGCCTATTTATTCTCTTGAAAATTTTTTCTCGTTGATTACTTATATTCCTTCTTAAATGGGATAAAGCTAAACTTTGTTCTTAATCTATTTATCTAAATATATATATATATATATACACACTTATTCATACTTGTTTGACTTTTTTTCCTCATACTATTATTTATGTTATTGATCTGTCTCTCTTTTTCCTCAAAGTTTTTTGTTTTTTTGTTTTTTGAAAAAGCACATACACTCAACCGGAAAGCAACATGTCAATTAAATAGAATCTTTTCGTATCATTCTGCTCAGTTTCTTTTATGTCAATGTTATTGTAAGATCGTTTTCATTTTTCTTGATGTTGTCACGCATTTCGTTTGTCTTATTTTCTGAAGAAAAAAAAAATATATATATCTATACATGAAAAAATTTATTTATCAATTGTTTTTCTATGAGAATGTGATTCTAGATATTGCTCGTTAATAGACAAAATAAAATCTATCGAGCAAATTATTGCTCATAACAAAGGAAGAATGGAATCTGCATATCGATATGATGTGCTACCTAATGACAGTTCTTGCACTCAATTGCTCGAGCTTTTCATACAAACTAGTCAACATCCTATCGGATGGATGATCAAGCCATTAGTGACTTATTCAGAGTCATTACATGGTTGTGTGATATCGAGCACAGTGTATTGTGAATACGTGTCGAACTACGTAGCAGGCCTGACCCGGCGGCCCATATATAGCTACTCTTCCATGGTGAATCATTCAAAACTAAGAGATGAACTTACGAGGAAAGCCGCTCGATTTATTAATCACTTTTGAGTCAAGACTATGTGCATTATATAGGCTCAAATAAGTTATAAATATTTTGAAAAGAATTCGGACCTTTGGTTTATTGCGACTGAGATTGTGAAGGTCGTGATCTTCGTTGGGAAAACTGATTTTCAAATTTTCACTTGAAACTTTGCATAGAGATAATAGTTTATTGTGATTTGTGATTTTCTATTATTAACATCGAATCTACGCAATGTAAAAGATACTATCTTAGAGTAGGAACAACAATAAGAATTAAAACATTCACAAGACACTATTCTCTGTGCAAAGTTTCAAGTCGAAATTTGAAAATCAGTTTTCCTAACGTAGACCACGACATTCATAATCCCAATCGCAATAAACCAAAGGTCTGAACTCTTTTCAAAATATTTATAACTTATTTGAGCCTATATAATGCATGTAGTCTTGACTCAAAAAGAATTTATTAGTTGGAGAATCTCCCCGTTAGATGAAATAAGGACGATTTCTATTTGCAAAACAAGATTTTTGCTAAAGTCGAAGAATTTTCTTGGAATTAGTGAGCGGACGGAAAAAAACAGTAAAACACTGAAACTCCGCCGGAGAAAAACAAAAATGTTTCAAGATTCTGAAGACCCTTGGAAAGGATCCACATACCCGTAATCAATGATAGTCGAAATCATCAGTTGAATGAAAACAAAAATGTTTGTCGAGAATATGAGCATCTTAAGATTTATTTGATTGAAATATCTCGATAATTTCAAAACAACTGTCTAGATCTATCCTTTGTTTTTTTTTTGGTTACATTAAACTAGAATTGAGAAGATTTATAACTTAACTATTCCATTGTATTAATATTTTTCTAGATTTTTTTTTTTTGTAAAAGTTAAAAATGAATGAAATAAACAAATTAACAGGTATTTATCATGAAGTACAAGAAGGTTCTCTTTGTGCTCAACATGCATTGAATAATCTATTACAACGTGAAATATTTTCAGCTATTTCATTAGCTGATATTGCTCGGTAATTATATCGAATAACAAAATAAAAAGCATTTCATTTTTTTTTTCAATAAATTTATTTTTGTTTTTTAGACAACTTGATGAACAAGAAAGACATGTATTAGGGCATGGATATGGTGAATCAGAAAATATGGATGGTTTGTTTCTGGGTTTTTTTTTTCTTTTAATTTATTTTTTTGTTTGTTTTCTAGATACGGGCTTTTTTAGTATTCAAGTACTACAAAAAGCATTAGAAGTATTTGAAATTGAATTAATTCCTTATGCAAGTCAACATCTAAAAGCTCAACAAGCACGTGATGATCCTCAATCAATTCAAGCTTATATATGTAATTTACGTGAACATTGGTTAACTATTCGAAGATTTGGTACGCAATATTTTGATTTAAATTCTATATCAATTGTACCAAAATTAATATCAAATACATATCTTTCATTATATTTAACACAATTACAACATAGTGGTTA